TACAAGTACAAATTAGAAAAAGATGGAGCTCTGGTAGCGTAGTGGCTACAAGTCAGGCTGCTAATCTCACAGTCAGCAGTTTGAAATTACCAGCGGTTCCATGGGAGAAAGATGAGACTTTCTGCTCCTTGAAAGATTTATAGCCTCAGAAACTCTATAGGGCAGCTATGAGTTGGAACCGACTGCATAACATATAACCACCAACACCACCACATGTGGAGATCATGAAGAGTCTAAGGAACATAGGTTTTGGAAACTGAGACAAATGTCTTCTCCCAGAATGGACAAACAAAGGAGCTTTTCTTAGAGTTGATGCTCTAAATTTGGACTTCTAGCTTCATACACTACGAGAAAATGAACCTCTGTTCTGTAAAGCCACCCTCTTATGGTATTTATGTTACAGCAGCAGTAGGAAACTAAGATAACCTGAGAATACGTCTTTTATGGTTGTACACATTCATACTGCACCTAAGGATTTTCATCAGATTCCCTTTTTGCTTGCTTGCCAGGAAGTGTAGATTAGTATCTGAGAGGCAATTATAGTTTAAATCATAAGGAAATTATAGTTTAATTATAGCTTAAATCATAAGCTGTTCTTCAAACTAAGTTATTCTTTTCTCCAAAACAGATGATGGGTAGTAGGGGGAAGGAATAGTGGAAAGAAGAAGGAAACAGGAAAATATAGTGTCTAGTTGGACTTCTGGTGTGGCATGGTGGGTTAATGTGCTGTATTGCAAAGTCAGTTTGAACCACAAGGTTGGTGGTTCAAGCTCACCAGCTGCTCCTCAGAAACCCTATACAGGGTCATTATGGATCGGAACCAACTTGACAGCACTTAACAACAGCAACAACAGTTGGAACTGATAGTTACCAGCTTGACATTCAGTGTTGATTGTACACTCGATTGGAATACCAACGGAAGCCTAAATTTGTGTTTATTACCAAGATTTTTAACACAGGCTTCCATTCCTATTAGATGTCTATTGAAAAATTGCAATGCCAAGTGGGATGAGACCCTGTGTGCAGAAGGAAGGAAGGAAGATAAAAGCAGAGCATGCCTCAAAATCTTCTCTCTCCAGAGACTTTGTCAGAACTGTATAAAGAAAGGAGCTACCATCAGAAGTTGATGAATCTGTTCACTGAGAACCCTGATGCTGTGAAAATAATTGTTACTATTAGAATCATGAACAAACTAGGGATGAGGGAAGTTTGCCATGACTGGTTTACAAGCTTTCATGGGTGTGCAGTTAAATGATATGAAGAAAATTAATCCATCATGTATGAAAGGGACAATAGCTAGAAGAGCCAGACAGGGAGTGGCTTGTGGTGCAATGAACGATGTAATGTCCCTTCTAGCCGCTGTCTTTGTAAACTTCCACCAAAGGACTTTTTCCTGATGGTCTGGGTAAGAGAAGGTGGAGGAAGATGCTGATGAATTATATGACTCAGTTGTAAGTGATGGTTAACAGGGATAACTGGGATTGATCAATTTTGTCATCCTGTTGGGTATAAAGTGAATCATCTTGGAAGCAGAAGAGAAGATCTCACTACCATCAAGGAAGAAGAACCAGGAGTAGAGCATGCTCTTTGGACTCTGAGATCCTTGTTCATTGAACCTCCTCAATTCAGGGACAGAAAGTGGTGACACCAGAGAAATGGCGGAAAAGGAGCAACAACAGAACCACGAGCCAGAGTATGAGACAGAGCAGTCAACTTCCTTGCCCATGAAACAAGAAGAACTGAATGACTTTGGGCAAAAGACTCACTTTTGGAGTGGGGTGCTTCCAGGCACCACTTTGGGGAGACAGATTTACTGAACCACGGAACTAGAGCCAAGAACCTTTGGGCTGAGATTTATAATGGAATGGAGTGCCCTGTAAGCATTTATCAGCAGCCCTAAAAGAGCTTCGCAACATTTCCCAGGTGGAGAGAGACCTGCTTGTTGGCATGACTGGGGAGAGGCTGTCCTGGTTGGTAGAACTGTGCTTTAAGCATTTTCTCATCCTGCATTGTGACCTGTTGACTTCCTCAATAAACCTAATTGTGATTCTGGTTTCTGAGTTCTATGTGACCATTGCAATGAATTGTCAAACCCAGCTCACTCGGGAGCATTGTGGAAGTGATGTTGTTGTTGTGTGTTGCCATCAAGTCGGTACTGACTCTCAGTGACCCTATGTACAACAGAATGAAACACTGCCTGGTCCCGGGCCAACCTCACTACTGTTGCCATGCTTGAGCCCATTGATGCTGCCACTTTGGCAATCCATCTTGCTGGGGGGATTCTTCTTTTTCTCTGACACTCCACCCTACCAAACATGATATCCTTCTCCAGTAACTGGTCCCTCCTGACAATATGTCTGAAGTATGAGAGACAAAGTGTGGTCATCCTGGCCTCCAAGGAGCACTCTGGTTGATAGTTGGCACAATTTTTGCACTTGGGCATTGGTGTGAGCACATTTGAGAACGTCTTTGGTAGGGTATGAGTACTCCCAAGGTGGGAATCAAGCTTCGAGAACAGCAAGACACATGGAAGCAGTTTTATGGCAGTGGACGTTGATGAAACCAGTTAAAAATGATGAGACCAAACTATGAAATCAACTCTGATCCATGGTGATCCTGCGTGTGCAGATGAGAACTGCTCCACAGGGTTTTCATGGCGGGAAGACTATGGAAACAGATTACCAGGCTTTATTTTGTTGTGCCACTGGGTACGTTTGAACTGCCAAACTTTTAGGTACTAGTCCAGCACAAACCAATTGTTCCTCTCAGGGACCCCAAACAGCAGACACAACCACATAATTCTGACAGACTTGTTATTAGCAACCATGACGTGAGACCCCTTCTGGGAGCTTGTTGTTTACCTGAGTGAGTGTATGAGGAGAATCAAATACCTGCAGTGGGGATGAGAAAGAGTCTAAGAATTACAAACCGTTACAGTTAAGGTGACACCATTTATTTTTCCAGGATGATGGGATTTAAGGAAATGTGTTACAGACATAATTTTATGTGTTGTTTCCCCAACATATTTATGAGGTTTCAGTCATCAAATAAATACTAAAGTACTATGCTATACATAAGAGCTGTGGTAGTGTAGTGGTTCTGAGTTGGGCTGCTGACCTCAAGGTCAGCAGGTAGAAACTACCAGCCGTTCTGCAGAAGAAAGCCGTTCTGCTCCCATAAAGATTTACAGCCTCAGAAACTCTATAAAGGGTTGCTGTGAGTTGGAACCAACTTAACAACACTTAACACCACCAAACAACATGTTATACATCTTTCTTTCACTTATTTTACTTTTTCTTATTTTAGAATTTTGTTTCAGCTAGAGTTTAGGTAGAATGACATGCAATCACAGGATTACATACACCTTCTTTAGCACACTACAGGTTGCCAGTGATTAGTGTACCTGCCCATCTTACCTTCTAAACAAATTCAAGTCTTGAATTCCTATGACCATAAATTCTTTTTTTGTTTTATTTAGTGGCTTTGACTTTTGACCAGTGTGGGCAAATCAGAGCCAATTTATACCCAGTGTAGCATTACTGTTATCAGTAGTCAGTCTGAAAGACTTCAAACAAAATTTAGATAAGCCCAAACACCTTGTTATGCTTCATCACATTTACTGTATCAAAACAATGACTTCTGACCTATGCACACTGATGATATTAAGCATATTTAACAATATTTTAAATACAGAAAATAATGTGAAAGATAATATCAAAGTTAAGGTAACAGAAATTGATGATTAATAAAAATATGGAATTTTATATAATGTTTTAATAGCTCAAGACAAAATACGAACATGCTTTAAAATTTAAACTAACTTGAACAGGCAAACATTTTGTAACTCAGGTGACTGATAGTGTCACGCTGGTTCGTGTGACTCTTTTTAGGTTCAGGCCAACCCTGATGTGAGCGTAGGCCCAATTGCACCAAATGCAACAGGAATTCTGTGAAGATTTTTAGTGTTACATGAAGTGTCTATACCATTTATTACACACCATTTCTAGTGAGGAGGAAAAAACAACAATCCTCAATTATCCATGAATTTCCCAAGTCCTTTCACCACTTCCTCCATTACCAAGATATCCTCTGTCATCTCAAACCTGGGTTCATCAAAGCAAGTTTCCTCCTACAGAGAAATGTTCCTAGTAGTGGCTGAGAAAACACAAAGTTCCTCATATGATTAGGGTCGACAATGACAGAACAGCATCCTTCTCTCTTTCTTTGTCTCCTTTGCTTACTCTTTCCCTACCCCACGGTTTCAGTGAGGATCCCTGGTGACACACTGTGTCCACACAAGGTTTTAAGAAATGTGTTTTGGCCTCTAAACTATTGTGAAGAATCCCCTTTAATTCTTCACATGGACAGTCTGGAGGTGAAAACTCCCTAGGCCACCTGAAAACCGCATACTGTGGTTGCCTGCTTCCATTGCATCACCTAGACATGTCCTTTGTAGATCTGACCTTCTCTGGGCTTCCTTTTTCTCCAACTATGTTGCCATTTCAGTTGATAGGACAATTGCACGCATGCTTGTAGGACACTGTAGATGGAAGATTGGCTGGGGACGGTGGGGGGAAGGAAGCAGTTACTGAGATCGCCCCAGGTTCTGCTCCTCCAGTCTTTTGATGGACACAGCACACCCAACAATCTTGTACAGAATCTAAAATGACTCTAAGAATGGAAAAGCATTTCAAAACTGGACCATAAAGGTATAGAGCTGATGGAGCCGGCTGCTTTCTATTCATCTATGACTAAGCCCAAAGCATAACAACACTAATGATATGTGGCTAAGGGAATGTGAGAACAAATTGCACTCAAAGGTCCAGTTGAGACAGACCCTCAGAAACTTCTGGAGACCTCCATATAATCCAGCAATTCAAGAGTTAATACCTTGTGCAGCAGAGGTTCTCCATACCCACTGTGTGCTTCAGTCTATGTTAAATATTTGAATATCCCCTTGGTGGAGGTGTTTTGCCCCTTGCCGCATAGACTCTGTTACTCTATTCCTCATTCCTTGCCTCAGCTATAGAAGCTGAAGGGAGGAGGCTGGTGGAGTCCAAACTCTTCTCACATTCTTTATCTGCTGGCTGCATTTCTCTGTCCAACTCAAGGACCTCCAAGAGACGCAAAGCCTCAGAATCATTACTGTTTCGAGCTAACCGCATTTTAGCAATTCTTTGCAGCTTGCTTTTAATTTTTTCTTTTGGCTTTGATCTCTGGTTTATTTTCATGCCCTCTATAAAATGCTGGATGGCCTTTTCTTCACATTGCATTTGATACAGCTGAAAGTTGCCGTATCGCAGATGCAGCAGCTGTTTCACCACAGGATTAAGCTCTTTGCTGAATTCTTTTTGGAAGTAATAATCTGCTTCCTCATACTGATTGGCTTGAGCACAGAGGCTGGCAAGGTAAGAGTAGATATTGGGTAGATTCGTATTGAGTGATTCTGCTTTCTTTAAATGAATCATGGCTTGTTCTATTACTTCCAGTAACTTCTCTTTTTTCCCATACCTTTCATTCTGTATTTGGAGGACTTTTGTCTTGTAGCAGCACCCAGTGTAGTAATGAACGTAGGCATTGTTTGGCAAACTTTCTAAAACCTTTCTAAGTATTTCTATAGCTTTGTCCAGGGCACCTTTTCTTCGATAAAAGTTTGCAGCGCTGCGAAGCACATCTGTTGCACATGGGACTTTCTCTAAGGCTTCTTCAACTAAACGTTCTCCTTCATCCTCTTCATTCATGTCTTGGAGTTTTTGGGCCAGGAGAACTTTAGCGTACTGATTGTCAGGATTCAGCCCAATGGCTTGTTTCAGAGAGTCAACGGAGTTCTGCTTAGGTGACCAGGTATCCAAACGGTAGCTCACAATCGCCAGTCCAGAGGTGAATTCCGGGTTCTTTGGTTTCTTTTCCAGAGCTTTCTCAAAACACACCTTAGCTCTTTCATTAAACTGTCCTCCAAACTTCAACCGTGTCCACCCTTCCTCACAGTCTATCTCAGGACTTTCAATTCTATACGGGCTGGAAAACTTCTTGCAGACGTGTCTCACCTTGTTGACATAAATCTGAGCTTCGAAAAGTCTGCCCATGTGATAGTAGACCCAGGCATAGTTTCCCCAGGTGATCAGACTTCTGATTTCTGCTTGGCTAGAATGATCTCTCTGAATGAATTCTTCAGCTTGCTGTAAATATTCCAGGGCGACTTCGTTTTGGCCTCGTAGGTGTTTTATGTAGGCCAGTATGTTGCATGTTGTGGCTCTGAATTCACTGTTCTCAAACTCAGTCTGGTTACATATTCTGTCTTCAAAATCATCCAAGGAATTTTCTTCCTTTAACAAATTCCAGGTGAAATGACATTTCAGTTGTTGTAGACTGATCTCCAAGGAATTCCTGGTGATCTCACTGTAGGGAAATTGGAGAGATGGACACTTTAACATTGCACAGATTCATCAGATAAGAAATGTGGATTGCAAATACAGATGTCCTCCCCCTAAAGAATGCCAACTATCCCAATCTAAAAAGAATAGATTCCCCCCACCCCGCACCCCATACCCTGCCTATGGAGTCCTGGTGTGGTGCTGTAGGATAGTTTGAACCTGTAAGGTCAGTTTGAACCACAAGGTTGACTGTAGAAACTCACCAGCTACTCCTCAGAAACCCTAGAAATGGTCACTATGAGTCAGAACTGACTGGACAGCACTTAACAACAACAACAACCCTGCCTATGTGTTAAATGCATGGTGAAGCCGGAATTTAATGACTGTGGAGGGTGAAAGAATTAGGGAATAGCAGTGGGTAGTGTTTTCTACACTGGAGCTGTTGTTGTTGTTGTGATGTGCCGTGGAGTCGGTTCAACTCATATTGACCCTGTATAGGGTTTCCGAGACTATAAATCTTTACGGGAGCAGAATGCTTCATCTGTCTCCCGCGGAACAGCTGGTCGTTTCAAACTGCTGACCCTGAGGTTCGCAGCCCAATTCATAACCACTACACTAAGCTTTATGTCCCTGAATAAGGCAGTTTTTGTTAAAAGCTTCAGCCCTCAGCTTTTGGCTTCTGAAGGCCTTTGCAGAGATTGCCAAATCTATGATTTCAGTAGAAGTTTCATTTTATTTATGTAGTTTCTAAGAAGCAAAGATATTTGATAACTTTTTAAAAAATTATTTGCTTCTATACATGAATAAGTAAAAAAGTATTGCTATAAAATCATCTGAACTTTTATTAAGCATAAATATCAAAATGTGAAACTATTGTTTCTCGGCATATCCTCCATCTTGGTCTATACACTTCTGAAGGCAGTGTTTCCATCTCTCTCTTCTCCAAAGAATTCTCCACTCTTCAATTTGTACCACATCAAAAAGTCTGTTTTGGCATCCTTGAGGGACTAGAATCGTATTCCTTTTAAATGTTCTTTGGATTCTGGGCACAAAAAGAAATCCTTTCAGGCAAGATGAGGGTTACAGGTTAGATGGCATAAAGTTTCCCAAAGAAATTCTCAAAGAAGGAGCAAGTGAATTGTCATGATGGAAAGAAATTTCTCAGTGTAAATTTGCTGACCTTTTTCAGATCAATGTAGTTTTCAGTTTATTTATAATTTCTTCATAATAAACTGCCATTATCATCCTGTGCCCTTTGAGAACATTACCTTTTTGGAATTCCAAAACACAGTTGCCATTACTTGAACTGATCTCTCTGCCTTGAATTTAACTGGTCCCGCAGATCCCCTGGGAAGCTATTACTGCAAGCCATCCACTGCTCACAGAGATGTTTGGGACAAACCTGTGCGTATATGAACTGGGACTCTACTAGCAATACTTTTTACATACCTTTGTATATTAAAAATTTTAGCTTTAAACGTTTAGTTTTAAATGTGTTTATTTCTCTGAAATGGAACCATTTTATCTTTTGTATTTTTAATGTCTTATTGTTAAGTGCCATTGAGTCAGTTCCGACTCTTAGCGACCCTGTATAGGGTTTCCAAGAAGTGGCTGGTGAGTTTGAACCAACGACTTTGTGTTTAGTAATCTAGTGCTTATCCTGAAGCGCCACATTGGGACTCCTTTAATGTCTTAGTTCTTTTTATGTAGCCTTTTAAAATCTTATCACTATCTATTTCCTGACTAATTTTTTTACATATCCTTAATTAATCATGTTAGTCCATACAAACTTTTTAAACTTTAAAAAATTGATTTTTTGTTTTTTCTCTTTATGTTGACCTTTATTATCTCTCTTTTTTTTTCAGTTGAAATTTTTGTATTGTAACCTTTAAAATCTATGTTCTAACCATCCTTAGTTTTTACTCAGTTCCCCTGCTTTCATATTGTTTTGGTCTCAGAGTGGAGGTATGGATTCAAAATCCCACTTGTAACTTTCAACTGTTTACCTCAGTTGTTTAACTCTTGTGTTTAACTGTTTAACTTTACCTCTTAACTGTTTTATTAATACATATGTTATCCATGCTTTTGTTTAAGAATAAAATGCAATCATTTTGTTGTGTGGTACTATAGGATAAGCACTGGACTGCTAACAGCAAGGTCAGTGGTTCAAACCCACTAGCTGCTCCTTAGAAACCCTATACAGAGTCTCTAGGAGTCAGGGGTGACAGTTGGTACTTAGCAACAACACTTCCAAACTGGGGAGTGCTGTGGCTCTGTAGACTAAGCACTGGACTGTGAACCATAAACTCACTGGTTTAAGCCCACCAGTTGCTCTGTGAGAGAAAGATGGGGTAAAGATGTTGTTGTTATTGTTAAGTGCCTTCAATTAGATTCTGATTCATAGCCACCCTGCATAGGGTTTCTGAGGACTGAATAGTGAGTTTGAACACCTACCACTGTGGTAAGCCATCCAGTGTGCCAGTGATTATTCTAAAGTATGCATCGGAACCAACTGACGACATTTAACAACAAACAACTTCTAAACTTGTCATTTCTAATCTTAACACATCTCATTAACTTGGTTTAGTATTAATTTTGCATTTGTTGTTGGGATTTTCTTTGGAAATTATTACTGTATTTCTCCTCTGGTTCGCATTTACAGCAGCAGGAGAGAGGTGTGATTTACAGCAGGTTCACAAGCTCGTTTTCTTATGGGAAGAGCCCCTTTCCTTTAGGTGGAACGTTCCTGAAATGATTTTCCATTCCCTTCCATGCTGGTCCTCCAAGTAAATGAATATGCAGCAGACAAAAAACAGCAGAGAGAGCACACATGAACAAAACCCCTGCTCTCAATAACCTGAGAGATGGTTGGATTCAAAAGCACCCCATGCCCAAAATATTTCTCCACATTTGCCTATGTATAGTTTGTTGCTGTCTTGTACTGTTAAAATTGGTTCTGATTCATAGTGCCCCTGTCAGGGTTTCCAAGGAGCAGCTGGTGAGTTTGAACTGCAGATCTTACAATTAGCAGTCCAGTGCTTATCCTACAGTGCCACACCTGGACCCCTGCCTATGTATTGGAGTCCCTGAAATGTTTTTTTCATGACTTAAACTTTTTTTTTCATGGTTTGGCACTGCAGGATAATGCACTGACTGCAAAGTCGGTGGTTCAAACCCACCAGCGGTTCCACTGTTCACCAGGCATGGAACTAAAGCTATTACCACAGTGTACATCTTCAGGAACCAATCTCTTGGAGGGGTTGAGCCCAGAAATCTGTCTGTAACAAGCTCTCAAGCTGATTCTTATGCAGCTCAAGTTGGAAGGCTACTGTTTTAGAGTCCAAGCGCCAAGTCCAGTGAAAGTACCTACCAGGGTTGGATTACCCAATAAGCTAGGTACACATGGGTTTAAATGTGTTTACTTACTAATCTGCAATTTCACTTGTTTCCACCACATTATGTAAAATTGTACACTGTTGTTGTTGTTAAGTGCTGTTGAGTTGGTTCGGACTCATAGTGACCCTATATAGGGTTTCCAAGGAGTGGCAGAGCATATATGTTGAGTCTGTAACATTAGGGGAAAGATTCTAAGGCAAGATCATGTTAAAATATAAAGAAATAGGTACACAGGCTCTCGAGATTCTGGGTGACTATACACACACACATTGTAAATATCTTAGATCTTTTTTTCCTATGAGACAGGCATGCAAACTAGCTGGGGTAAACAAACAAACAACAGCAACAGTTTAAGAAGGCAATGCGGACTCTAGGAAGTGATCTCTGGAGCTGGTATTCCTGGATCTTTAAGCCCCCAAGTCTTAGCCTCAGGCAACCAGATCTGGTCATCCCAACCCTCAAACTGGAAAAAGTAGAGTGTTCCCTTACTGCTCTCTGAGCTAACACTTCCTCCCTCTCCAGGGCAGTCTTCTGTTTCTGGGAAACTTAAGGAGCCTTCTGTGGGCATGAATCGCTCTGAGCACTCAATCTCCAATTCACACTCCAGACAGGAGAACTCTAGCCAATCATTAGAAAGTGGAGGTAAAAACATTTCTGTGAGTTTGCCAGCTCTAATGCCATTGTGAGAGGATTGAGTGCTTTAAAGTTAAAATTCACCTTGTCATAAACTAGTCTTGTTGTACTGAGTCCATCTTTAACAACATCGGCTGAAAATAAATCTTTTGTTAAATACTAATTTTATTATAATTCACTGACTTAATAATCTTTTCAAATAAAATATAAAAGAAGAGCAGCCAATAAGACTAATTTCCCCAAACCCATCTTTAAATCAGCTACCTGCCTATTTATACCCAAATGTGATTCTCTGCTTCCCCTCCCTGTCTTTCCTGCCAAACTTGCTCTCAGCAACTCCTTGTAGAGACACCCTTAGGAAACTTGACTCAGGAAGTTGCCTTCAGTGGGACATTGCTGCCCAGGATTTGCATTCAACAAGTCTGAGTGAACACCGAACACCAAGGAGAATCTTTACCTCATGATCGCTGTTCGCTTTCCAGCTCTTCTGAGAAACTGAAGATGCTGTGCTCTGTAGAAGCCTTCTTCTTCCTACAATAAATTCTGAAGAGACCTATATATGAAGATACCAGTTTGCTTCTTTTCCTTGCTTCCTAATTGGCTTTACAAAAATGAAAATGAAACTGGAAAGTGAAACTGATTTGAATCTAGCCAGATCCTTGCTGAAGGAAAAGGAATCTGGAATAAGAACCACAATCAGTAGAGAGCCCCAGCTCCGCACACCGAACCCAAAAAAGTCTTTGTGAATTGAATAGATGTTCTGGGTCAGTAGCCATCAACGGAGTCCATCTCAGAGAAGGATACATTTATACCCAGGCTTCCTTATTACAATGCTAACCCCCCTTAATGACCCACAGGACACAGTTAGGAATAGTTTCATGATCTCCAGGAGGGCAGGGACTTTGCATCTGTTTTGTTCAACTGCTTAATCTTCAATCCCTGCAAAAATAGCTGGTACATAACAGACATTCAAAACCTAGTTGCTAAATAAATGAATACATGATTAGAACCATGGCTCTGTTCATATGTTGTGAGACTGTAGGCAAATTATTAAAATGTCCCTGTGCTATATTTTCTGCCTCTGTGAAATGGGGATAATACTACTAACTCATAAAGGTGTTGTGAGGACTAAATGAGTTAATACATGAAATCTACTTAGAGTAGGAGTTCTGGTGCAGCGCTGTAGGATAAACACTGGACTGTAAGGTCCATTTGAATTACAAGGTTGATGAAATCGCAAGTTCTTTGGGAACCCTATACAGGGTCGTTATGAGTCCAAACCTATTCTATGGCATTTAACAACAACAACAAGGGAAAAAAGGCAACAGCGCCGGATGTGTTTGTGTTAAGGAAAATACGTAGAAACATTCTGCATCTTAAAAGTGTCCAACTAGCAAAATTCAGATAACTGAGGCAGGTTATTTAGTCTTGGAGAAACTGTTTACCTTAGATACTTCTGGCTAGGACAGGTTTAAGCAAAGGCTGTGCTTCTTAAAAATCCTACCCACTTTATTTATAAAACTGAGCTAAGTTTTCTTGGGGAGCATGGTGGTTCTCTACGTTAAGCACTATGCTGCGAACCACAAGTTGCTCTGCGGGAGAAAGATAAAGTTATCAGCTTCCACAAAGATGTACACCCTGGAAACCCTACACAGGGTTGCTCTGAGTCACAACCGACTTGATAGCACTTATCAACAACCATAAACCTTCTTAGTCGGGAACTCCTACCTTTAGTTACCGCTTAAGAGGTACACAAGTTCTAGAATTTAGATGAACCCCAAATAAGACAGCTGACCTGAAAACCAAGTTTGTTATTTATTTACAGAAATATATGTTAGGAATATAAGAAGTGCTGAAATAGTAAGCTAGGAACACAGGGTTTCATTTTAAAATTTGGATTCAAAGAAATTATTGGATAGAAATATTTAAATCTTATTAATCAAGGTACTGTCTGAGCTGAAGCAAGGAGAAAGCTAGGGCTCATTGTCACTGTTTTGAAGTATCTTGTTGTTGTTGTTAAGTGCCGTCGAGACAATTCCAACCCATAGCGACCCTGTAGAGTGTTTCCGAGGAGCAGCTGGTGAGCTTGAATCACCGACCTTGCAGTTTAAATGGCTTTGCTGTCTGACGTATTAGCCCACAGCGCCACACCAGGACGCCTCGTTGTTGTTGTTATGTGCTGTGGTGTCGGTTCCGACTCATAGTGACCCTATACAGAGTTTCCGAGGCTGTAAATCTTTACGGGAGCAGAACGCCCCATCTTTCTCCCACAGAACCACTGGTAGTTTCGAACTGCTGACCTTGCGGTTCCCATCCCGATTCGTAACTCCTACGCTACCAGAGCTCTAGAGCTTGAAGTATCTGGAGGTACTAAATTACTGTCTAGATATCAGCATGACTAATGTCGGTGTGTAAGGAGCTCTGGTAACGTAGGAGTTACCAGTTGGGCTGCCAACTGCAAGGCCAGCAGTTGGAAACTACCAGCGGTTCTGCGGGAGAAAGATGAGGCTTTCTGCTCCCGTAAAGATTTACAGCCTCGGAAACCCTGTACAGGGTCACTATGAGTCGGAACCGACTCCACAGTACTTAACAACAACAATGTCGGTCTGGTTACGAATTGGGCTGTGAACCGCAAGATCAGTAGTTCGAAACTACCAGCGGTTCCACGGGAGAAAGATGAGGCGTTCTGCTCCGGTAAAGATTTACAGCCTCGGAAACCCTGTGCAGGGTCACTATGAGTTGGAACTGACTCGAAGGCACTTAACAACAACAACAACAACTACAGTTACCATGGTGGTGGTGATGGTGGGAAGTATGAACTGATTGGACAACTGAGTAAGTGTGAGAATATGTGTTGTGGTTGCAAAACAGAAACTGAAAAGGGAAACCTTATCTACTTGAAATATTTCTATTTGAAGAAAAATGAAACAGTAAGAGTTCTAATTCTCTGCTACAATGATTTGTGTATCTGTGTTCTAGAATCTAGGACATAGGGCAAGGACTGCCTTTGTTTTAGCCTAGACTAACGGAAGGAGCTCTGGTAGCGTAGTGGTTACGAATCGGGCTGCGAACCTTAAGTTCAGTGGTTCGAAACTACCAGCCGCTCCGCGGGAGAAAGATGAGGCTTTCTACTCCCGTAAGGATTTACACCCTCGGAAACCCTGTACAGGGTCGCTATGGGTCGGCTCCGACTCGAAGGCACTTAACAACAACAACGGAAGGGCTAAGGAGCTCTGGTAGCGTAGTGGTTACGAATTGGGCTGCGAATCTCAGAGTCAGGAGTTTGAAACTACCAGGCGCTCCGCAGGAGAAAGATGAGGCTTTCTGCTCCGGAAAAGATTTACAGCCTCAGAAACCCTGTACAGGGCCGCTATGAGTCGGAACCGATTCCACGGCACAAAAGCAACAAGGGAAGGGCTATGCTTGATGTTACCAAATAAATGATATTATCTTGAGTAGCTACATCAACTACTCAGTGGTTTTCAGTGGCTATCACCGTGCGGTCTTTTTACCAGCAGCGTTAGCCTGCTTCTGATGGTGCGTTCTCAGGTCCGGATGGAGTCAGAAACTCCAGGGGTAGGAACTAGTCATCTGTATGTTAGTAAATCTTCCAGATAATTCTGACGCATACTATAATTTGAGATCTATGTAATATTTTGACTGCAAGTGAAAATATTTTTGGTGGTAGTTGTGGTGGTGGTGGTGTGCCGTGGAGTCGGTTCCGACTCATAGCAACCCTACATAGGGTTTCCAAGGCTGTAAATTTTTACCGGAGCAGGAAGCCTCATCTTTCACCTGCAGAACAGATGATAGTTTCGAATTGCTGAACTTGAGGCTAGAAGCCTGTCTTGTAACCACTACGATCGATACTTTAGCTACATAAAATAATAAGGGGGCTTCAAAAACTTCTTAGAAAAACTTCATTATCTTTTAATTCTATTTCCCAAAAACTTTTTGAAGCCCCCCCCCTCTTTTTGAGGTTTAAAAAATATTGACTATTTTTGCTTTGTGTCTTTCTAGAAAATATTTGACTAAATCTTTATCCACCTACCTGCAACTTCAAAGGCGTTCACATTAGAGGATCTCAGGTATCCCAGTTGGCTCTCTTGATCTCCACAATGGACTATAATTTGATAATAATGTAACATTCCCACCCTCACTGATTCAAAGACATTGTTAAGTGCTGTCCATTTGGTTCTGACTCAATTGCAAGCCTGTACAGGGTTTTTGAGGCTTTTAAATCTTTGTGGGAGCAGAAAGTCTCGTCTTTTTCCCACAGAGCTGTTAGTGGGCTTGAACTGCCAACCTTGTGGTTCACAGTCCAGTGCTTATCTTATGGAGCCATCATGCTCCCTATTCAAAGACAGATATATGC